GCCTTGGAGGTCACCCCAGGCTGTCCCAACATACCCCCTTGGCTCTCCTGTGGACCCCGCAGCCCCCTCTGAGGCAGGCAATGCTCTGCCAGCCACCTCATTCTAGGTACAGCGTCACAGGTGCCAAGAGGAAGTTGAGGCTCCGAGGTGGGGGGGTGGTCTGTCCCAGGCCTCAGCAAAGTGGGACCCTCCTTCCAGCAGCAGGTAGGTCACTATCCCCAAACCCCAGCCGGTGAACAAACACTTCCTTTCCCGGCGCTCACAGCCCCGTGCCCCAAACCACATAGATGTCACTGCCTCCTGTGACATCACAGCACGACATGGTGGAAAAAGATCGTGGGCCTCAAAGAAGCGGGCCCCAGGCTGGGACCCAGCATTGCTGGCGTCAGCAGCTCTGTAGACAGGGAGAGACGCCCTCCCCACCACAGGTGCCCAAGCACCTGACACGGGACCTACAGGACACAACCTTCCTCCTGTGGCCTTGAAGTTGCTCAGTCAAGAGCTAAGGGACAGAGAGGCAGGAGAGCCTCCACCCACCCTGGCTGCCCAAGGTCTCCTGCACGGTTTTCAGGCAAGCTGACCGGTGCCTCGGCTTCTGGTGCCCCTGCAGCTAAGCCTCGGATGTAATTATGGCCAGAGGAGGTGGGCTTGAAGTCAGCAAGAAGGACAAAAGCAGGACAGCCATTATGGTTGCAGTGGGGAATGCTGGCCTCTCTGGAGAAGCCTGGGGCAGCTGAGCTTTTGTTAAGTCCACCCAGTGTGTCTCAGTTCCGGAAAGGCACTGGGACCAAGTCCAAGAGCTGGTAGGCTTATAAACAGGGGGGGCTAGGCTGGAGAGGTTAAGCCGCCAGAGCAAGCTCACAAAGCAAGGGACGGTGCTCAGGTGGGGAGTGCTGGTCTTCCAAGCCTCCTTTCTCAGAACACAGCAGTCCTGGAAGGTGCCTGCAGGTAGGGGATGGACATCACAACTTCAGAAGGGAGACCTCTCCCCAGACTTCTCCTACCTGGGGTCTCAGGAAAAGGGTAGAGATAGGCAAGGTTCCAGAGACTTCCTGGTGCCTGCCTATGTCCATCAAGCAGGTGGACGGACTGAGGTAGCCAATCTATACCTCCAAATCTCTCGGCCTACCCATGTGGCACCTGTCACTCCCTCAGAGGGACAGGGACAGGGAGTGATGTCTTGGGTTCCTGACCGCAGTCCTGGCCACAGCATGGGGTCCCATGTCTAGCCAGCTGAGCAGGGTATGAGGAAGACATTAGGACAACCAGAAATCCAGAAAGGTAGGCAGGAAGCTGTTCTCATGGGGTGTTGGACAGCAAAGCCACTGGGCCCAGAACTCCAGACCTCCCAGGCATGTTTCAGAGCCTGTGGCCTGAGAGTCTCACGCCACGCTGCATCCCGACCCCAGCTGGTGCAGGCTGCACTAGTCCCGTGACCCAAATGGCCCTGCCAGGCCTGCACAACCACAGTGCCTCCAACCACTGCCTGTGGGCCCCACAGCTTGCACAACACCCACAGTCCTTAAACACCCAGTGATAGCGGGAGGTGTTTGGTCCCACCCTGCCAACCCAGAAGGTCCCACGGGTGGGGTCACTCAGCCCGCTAACAGCAGAGGCTGGACCTTCCCTGAAGCCACCGACACTACTTCCCTGTGTTCCCAAGAGTGGCCAGACCTCAGGCTTGCCACTTGGTTTCTGTTCACCCCAGGGCACCCCTCTCCACCCTCCCCGAGCCCCAACTTCCTTCCATGCTTGCTTCCGGAAAAATCACACTCCTAGTGGGACCGGAGTCACTGCCAGTGGGTAGCCCTGTCACAAGCCAGGGTGGAGGTCTGGGGGCGGTTACCATGGGGAATATAGCAGGCAGAAAACAAACCCAAAGAAGGGGGCAAGTCAGGCCCAGCTCTGCCCTTACCAGCCTTTCCAACCCTTGCACCTTCTTACCACTGCAGAGGTCCATGCACCTGCTCGAACACCTGCCCAGAGTCTTTTGAACATCTGCTTAAGTGCCAAGCACTATCCTAGTACAGCGACTCTCAAACCATTTCCTCCCCCTCAGAGGAACATTCAGTCACATCTCAAGATAGTTTCCATGGTCCCAGCCTAAGGGGAATGCTCCCCACACCTGGGGTGTAGCGACCACCCCACCAGCACAGGACGGCTGCAGACAGACAGGCGGACATCCCAAACATCAACAGTGCTGACCCTGAGACCCCGTCCTAGGCGATGAGTCCACAGTAGTGAATGAGTGCCTCCCCTGACCATGCTTACACTGCTGGAGGGCAGGCGATCAGAGTGAAGGACAGGGCAGGGTGGGGGGCACACACAGGGACATCTGGCAGGTCAGGGCCACAGTAGCCAGCAGGCAGCTTGCACAGGCAGGGTGCTCCCTTTGATCAGAAGGAAGTGAGAAAACAGGACCAGGACAATATTGTGGGAGGGAATCTCGAGGAAATGGGGAAAGCCGGTGCAAAGGTCCGGAGGCAGATACACCTGCAGCACACCTGAGGAACAGGAAAGCAGGCAGCACAGCATAAAAGCAAGAACCAGCCGGTGTGGAGTTGAATACAACACACACACACACACACACACACACACACACACACACACACACACACACAAAGCATGTGCCACAGCTGGTCGTAAAACTCCCCCTACCTTCCCCACTTCCCCTCCCCAGCCATCCTGGCTCCTTCTCTAGAAAACACAGGATGTCAAGACCCTAGAGAGTGGTCATGCCACGGGAAGCCACTGGACAACAGCCACAACTCTGTCCACACAGGCAGCCCCTAGTCTCTCACCCTGCCCAGCCCTGGGCACCGAGCAGGTTGGGGAACATACTCTTGTCAGCCACAGGGAAAGCACCACGGCACAAGCCCAGCCAAACACTAAGGTCTCACAACCACTTGGCAGGGTGGCTGCTGGAGGGCTCTTGGTTATCTGGCATCCTCAGAGCTGGGCACTCAGCGGGGTTTGCTATGGGTACCTACAAGCACTGGGGCAACGAGCGACCGGACAGGAGGCACTGCATCAGCATGTCTGGCCACCTGCTTGCTGCCTCTGAAGGACCACAGCTGCAGTTAGCACACAGGATGCCTGAGAATGGAGTAGGAAGTGTGGAGAGGATGGAAGAGTACCCAGGGCCAGCAGGTACTCTAGGTCTCCCCTAACCTGCCCTCAGACCCTTGCATGACAAGGCCAGTAGCAGCCCCCTTGGTCCCAGGACTCATAGGAGTAGACAGGCCAAAGCTGCCAAGTGGGCCCTGCCCATTCCCATCAGAGGGCACCGAGTGCTCACACATGCCTGGCATTTCATGATGGAATGAATGAATGAAAGAACAATGCATGACGCCAATAGAGTTGCTAAAGGGTGCAAAGGCCCAGGTAGCAAGGTGGGTCTGCTGCCCCTGCCACCCATTCACTTTTCTTCTTGCAGCTCAATCAAGTGGCACCAAGGTGACTGTGCACCTGCTGGTTAAGAACGTAGCGGGGACACAGAAGGGGGGTGGTGAAAAGAACTGCAAAATAGACCAACTTGAATTCAAATGCCTGCTCTGGGCCCCCAGCTCCAGGATCCTTGAAGCACCATAACTTCTCAAACCTCAGCCTCCACATCTCTAAGTGGGAACAGCATCACCCAGCTTTTAGGACCGCCTGTAAGGGACAGGGATGTTCAGCAGCAAGGCCTGGCACTAAGTGGAGCTATAGTGGAGGAGCCCATAGTGCGGGCCCCCAAGGCTCTTTCCCCTTTGATGGGATAGGACAGAAGCAGGTGGAGAAGCAGGGCTTCACACTTGCCCAGCCAGGGTTCCAGGGAAGGGCAAAGCCAGCCAGGAGAAGGAGGAGTTCCCAGCAGAAGGACGGAGTAAGGAGTGCACCATGAGGGGGGCACAGTGTGGGCACTGATAGGGTCCACAGGGGCACCATGACCATGGGGAGGAGGGAGGAAGCACCCACACCTCCTTCTAGCCCAGGATACCTGGGGTGGCTTCAACTTCAGCCACAGGAAGCAGACCTCCCCAGCAGCAGGAAGTGTGTGTGAGGGTCTCTGTGGATAGCAGCCCAGCCGCGAGGCTACAGCACCCAGTCCTGGCAGAGGGGACCCGGAGCTGGCTGGCGCTGGCCACCAGAGGAAGGAAGGCAGAAGGGAAACCCCTCAGACACCCAGGACTGTGGCCAGGGTTCCTGGATGTACCCACACAGGCTCTACAGGGCTGGGGGGAGAGAGAGTCCCCTGGGGCCCAGCTCCCCTGGCTTGTGGCCTTGGACGGCAACCTCCAACTGGAGGAAGATTTAGCCCTACATCCTGCCAGGACACTCAGGTTTCTCTGTGCCTCACTGGTCCTTCTCTATCGAATGGGGTGAGCCTGAGTCAAGAAACCACGGTGACCATCAAAAAGCAACAACGAAAAAAGCAAAAAAAGCGAAGGACCCAAGGCCTCTGCACAGCTAGCCTTGATCGGAGGTGGTGGCCACGCTGGGGCCCCCAGCACTCACCGAGGGGTTGCTCCCTGAGCCCCGGCTCTCTCAGCTCTCCGGGGGGGCTGCACCACGCGGCCTCCCTCCCTGCCCTACACGCACAGATCTCATCCAGGACAGATCCTAGGCAGGGGCAAGGAGGAGGCGACCCAACGGCGCCTTCATCAGGCGCTTACTCAACAACTTCCCGGCTCTCTCAAGCACGTTTCTAGGAAAAGAGGACAACCCAGCAGGACAGGAGAGGATACCCGGAGTGGCCCAGCCCCGTCCCCGAGGGAGGGACGGTCGCGGCGGCCGCAGGAAGAGGGGTCCCGCGTCAGTCATTCCACCTTCCTCACCACGCAAGCCCTCGCCCACGCTCTCTGGGGAACCCGGGTGCGTCCAGGACCCGCGGGGCGGCAGGGCCCGAGTTCCTCCCTGCGCGTGAGGACAAGGCCAAGTGTCTCCCCCGTGGGTTCCTAGGGGCGCGCGCTGCGCATCTCGGGGGGACGAGGAGCTGCGCACTCGCTGAGATGTCCCACCTGGGTGGGCATGCCGTGCCCGGCGGCCCAGAGCTGCAGTCCGACGGCCAGAGCGGCCCACAGGGCGACGGGTGCCATGGGTGCAGGAGGCGGTGGCCAAGCTCCGCGGAGTCCGGCGGTGCCTGCCCCGGCGCGCTGGCGCCTTCCCCCACCCTGGTTCGACGCGCCCCGACGCAGCCTCCGACTGAAACAGAAAGCGGGCGCGGGCTGTAAGCCGGGCTCGGGCGGCGGGGCGGGGCCGAGGTGGCTGGGCGGGGCCGGGTGGGAGGGACCGGGCTTGCGGACCTCTGGACACGCCCCTTCCCGGCTCTCCGGTCAACCTGGCCAGCACCTGAGCCGGCCCTGGCGGCGCGCCGCCGGTGAGAGCGATGGAATGAAGCGGAGGAGCCACGCCTCGGACAGGAGGACACGCACCACCTGCCTCCCACCACCTGCCTCCCAAACCCTGTGGACCAGGATGATCGCCCCCCCAAAGCTGACCGCACTCTGGGCTCTAAAGTCTGACCGCCTGGGTCTGGATCTCTGCCCTGGCCTCTTGGAGTTATTCTGAAAATTAAAAAAGTATAGAATAGGGGCGGACGCAACAGCCTAGTGGCTAAATCCTCGCCTTGCACGTGCCAGGATCCCATATGGACATTGGTTCTAATCCCCGCTGCCCCACTTCCCATCCCTCTCCCTGCTTGTTGCCTGAGCGAGCTGTGGAGGACGGCCCAAAGCCTTGGTACCCCGCGCCCATGTGGGAGACCTAGAGAAGGTTCCTGGCTCCTGGCTTTGGATCAGTTCAGCTCTGGCCGTTGTGACCACTTGGGGTGTGAACCAGTGGACAAAAGATCATTCTGTCTTTCTGTCCTCTGCAAATCTGCCTTTCCAATAAAAATAAATAGATTTTTTTTTTTTAGAAAGTGTGGAATATACATCATATAAGGCATTTCCAACAGTTGGTGGAAAAATGGAATTGAGAAACTGGGGGACCAGCGTTATGGCACAGCGAGTTAAGCTGCTTCCTGACATGCCAGCATCCCATATAAACAGGTTCTATTCCCAGCTGCTCCACTTCCAATCCATTTTCCTGCTAATGTACCTGGAAGGCAGCAGAAGATGGTTGAAGTGCTTGGGCCCCTTACCTGTTGGGGAGACTCCGTGGTGTTCAGATTCTTGATTTTCACCATGGAGCCCCAACCTAGCCCTTGCTGCCGATTGGGGAATAAACCAACAAACGCAAGATTCTCTCTTTGTAATTTACTCTGCCTTTCAAATACATCTTTGTGTGTGTGTGTGTGCAAAAAAAATGTTGTGATCCTGATAATATGCATTTTCATGAGCTTTTGGGAGAAGTTGGGAATTACTTAATCATTAGTTCATACGTATTAAATTAGAATGAGTCGTTATTACTGTTTATTATCCTGTTTATCCATTTGTTCTTAAACATTCCTCAACTCCTTCTCAGAGTGAGCCTGACCCTGTGCTGTTGAAGCTGGGAGAGAGAACGCTATGCCAGAAGCCTGGGAGGGGTGACTCCGACTTCAGCCCAAGGACTGGCTCACCTGGGGGCTACGGCCTGAGCACCTGCTACAGCTGCCCTGTGCTCCCCATCCCACTTCGAGGGCCATCAGATGTCTCCTGGCCCTGCAACCTGGAGGAGGACATCTCTGAGGGGTGGTGTGGGCAGGGCAGGCAGGTTGTCTGCAGGGGGGCAGTGGACCCGGGTCCTGGCCTTCAGCCCCCAGGGTGTGGACAGCAAGGATGGTGTTTCTAGGTGCTGAGTGAGAAGCAGGGAAGTTATCTTGGGGAATGGAAAGTCCCCCCTCCTGGTCAGGAGCCTGGGAAATTACCTGGTGCCCACAAGTTTCTGGGACTCCAGCATGCGGAGGGTGTGGCTAGCCCAACCCCCAGCCTAGGCTCTGCAGAAGGTCAGAGTGAGAGTGAGCGGGAGCTGGCCTGTACAGGTCCCCGCCTGCAGCAGCTGGAGGCAGGTCAGCAGTGAGATGTCACCTGATGGACATCAGGGGCAGGTGTTCTCTAGAAGTCTCCTGCCATGCCTCCGAGCCCGTGGAGCCTGCCACCTCCTGCCCTCCCACCTGTCCCCCTGCCAGCTTCCCCCCACCTCCGCAACCCGGGAGGTGAATGGCACCATCCTTCCCCAAGGCGTGGCCATGCTGCTATAGTCCAGAACAGGCTGTTTGCTATTACCAACAACACAACACCACCGGGATCCCATATGGGTGTGCTAGAAGGTTCTAGAGAAGAGGTGGGTCTTGACTTGTGGTTCTGGTGGTCAAAGGGTGCATCTGGTGAGCGCGCCTCCATGTTGGTGCAAGGCATCTTTATCAAATTTCTCAAGTAGTCCTGGAGCCCTCTGGGGTCAGGCCCAGGGTGAGGGCTCCGGGAAAAGGCCCCAGTGTCCAGTGGCAGGGGACCTTTTGGGAGTCTTGGCTCAGGTCTACTCTTTCTAGAAGCACATGATGGTTGGGGGCCGGGGATGTTCTTTGCACCCATAGCTCCCTAGCCACCCTCCCCCCGAAGAGCTCCCGTATAAACGGTGGTCTTCCAACTGCTCCTTCTGAGGCCACCTCCCCAACAGGAAGCACCTCTCCTTTTGAAAGGTTTAATTATTTTGATTGATTAGAAAGTGAGATTTACAGAGAGAAGGAGCTATGGGAAGATCTTCTGACCCCTAGTTCACTCACTAAGTGGCTGCAGCAGCCGGAGCTGAGCTAGCTTCTTCTGGGTCTCAGACCATAGGTAGGGAGCTGGATGGGAAGTGGAGCAGCTCAGACTGGAACCAGCACCCATATGGGATCCCAGCATGTGCAAGGCGAGGACGTTAGCCACTAGGCTACCGTGCCGAGCCCAGGAAGCTGCTTTTGGTGGAGAGAGCTCTCAGCTGGCTCCCCCCAGGGGTGCCCAGTTTTTTCCCCTTTGCTGTCTCCCTCCAAAGATGTCCTTCCCTGAATACTCCTATGTGTGCCTATTCAGGGGTGCTGAGGACTCCCTTCTGTGTGACAGCCCCTAAACTCTTGAGCCACAGAGCACCCCAGTTGGACCCTTGCCCCATCCTCCTCCTGAGAAGGGAACATAGCGGCCTCTGCTTCCCAGGACCCTTCCTCACGCCTTCTCCAGCACATGGCCTGTGTAGGCTGGGCACATGTGGTGGCAAATTCTGACTGAACTCTTTTGTCTCTCAGCATGGCCTGAACAGGTAGTTTGGAGCTAACTTTCATCTAAGGATGGGGATTGAGCTTGACACCCACCCTGCTGTACCTATACCTCCCAATGGGGTATCCGGGGAAACTCAATCACCACAGAGGTCTTTCCTTTACCGTCTGCCACAGCCTAGGCCACATGACCCCTTTCCTGTCCTCACTTGGGGTTACTGAGCTCCACCTGCCCAAATCTGTGTCCACACAGCATCCTCTGCCTGGGGTCCTCCCTTGCTTGCTTGACCACATGTCTGTTCTTCCAGTCCCAGCCTCACTCTGTCCACTGTGAAGCTGTCTTTGACAGGGCAGGCTAGCATGGGCCTCCCATAGACTGTTACTCTCTCTGCTTGCTATTACTAGTTACATGACCCCGACCTCTCTTAAAGACAGAGTTCCAGGTCAAGGCAGGTAGTGCTGGGTTACAGACCTGTGGGCCATAGTCCTGTGGACCATAGTCCTGTCTCTGCTGGATATCTGCCCATCACCCATTCACAGAGCAAGTGGGACTGGGGACGTAAGATGCAGAACTTGGAAGCCCAGGCTGGGGGTAGCCAAGACTTGGGAGTGATGGGGCTGGACTAGGTAGGTACTTGAGACTGGACACTGCCTTCCTTCCACACATCCATTCATCTTTCAGCCAACAGCCAAGAAAACCAGCTCAGCCAGACTGCTACTCACACTGCAAGATATAGGATCTTCAATGGCAGGGGACCTTCCAGAACCACGACTGCAGCGTCTGCCAGCCTCAGCATCATCTGGAAGGCTCACTGCACAGGTAGATTTCTGAGCCCCTTGCCCACATTGATGGAGGGCCTGACCTGACCTTTGAATGAGCCTCCGGTGACTGAGAACTTCTTGAGAAAGCTACAGGGCTTGGGTGGGACAGGAGCTGTGACCCAGGACAGTTTGGAGGGCTGAGTTGTGGCTGAGCTGGGAGGAGCTGCGTACAGTGTAGCTCAGGCCTCCCAGGTGCATCTGGTCCAGGATCTGAGGATCCCGGGGTTCCCATGTTTCAGGAGTGGCTTGGGTAGCAGAAGAAATCTCCCACCCAGCCTGGCCCATAGCCATAGCAAGCAACTTGTATTGCTTATCTCAGAACCCCAAATGCTTTGATGTCTCATGTCCTAAAATCAGGAACAGGAAGCCACGCTTGGTGTAAGCCACAACTTTGCAACTGCCTCTCCATCTGCTCCTCCAATTTGCCCTCCTGCCTTCCAAGAGGCCCCCAGCTTGAATTGAGCCCACCGCAGTCACACTGCAGGCTGGGCAGGAGGTTCTGCAAAGCACTCCACAGCTCCTCCCATTCCGTCTATCTCCAGGACCCAGGCATGCAGTGGCCAGCCCGGTCTTCCAGGAGGACCCCCAGGAAATGTGGAGAAGGAAACCAGCAAGGCCTCCTCCAAGCTGTCTTCTTCCCTTGCTCCAGCAAAACCTCCTTCTCTTCCTTGCCTCTTGCCAGCACCCAAGCACAGCTCAGCCCCAGTTCCCCTGCAGAAGAGCAAGGCAGGCAGCCAGCAGAGACTCAAGGGAATCCCCATTCCAGTCCCTCTCCCTGTGTGACCTTGTGCCAGACCTTCTCCTGGCTTGAGTATCCATATCCATATCACGGCAGGTTGGATTAGAAGGAAAAGGCAGACTGGTTTTAGTAGCTGCCTGGGCCTCTGTGTTGGGAAGGATTCAGAGGCTGGACGTAGGCTGTGTAAGAAAAGGGACATGGTGGAGTAGCAAGAGGAGCGGCAGCCACTGGCCTTCGCTCTCTCTGCATCAGGACCAAGTTCTGATATTCATAGATTCTGTGACTTCCATTGGGTGGAACAGGGCTGGACTTGGTCCCTAGCCTTTGCTTGTAAGAGTATGAGGGTAGTGGCCCTGGTCTTGCAGGAATGACTGTCCAGGTGCAGGCTTCCCAGCTAATCCTTGTCCCAAGCCAGGACTTTTACTTAGTGGGTGATTTCCTTCATCCTTGCAAACCATGCTGCTGCATT